TATGATTCTATGATATGATTCTATGAATTTAAAAGGTATTTTTATCACCTGTTGCAGTGTAGGCTCCTACCACACTTATGTCTCCAGCCCCTTTGAAAAAAAAACAAAAAACAAACCAAACAAAAAACCAAAACAAAACAAAAATGACAAAAATAAGACATGTCAGAAACTCCACACTGCAGACCAGTCCTGCAGCTACTTCATAGTGGTTCATACATGTGGGCAGACAGTGCCTTGCTGATGCAAAATAGCTTCTACAGCTGTATGCATACTTCTATGCATGTGTGAACTCTTGACATTGACACTGCCACTTTCAGTTTCATTTACAGAGACATTTCACAAGTTTACTGAATTAAGGGCCTTGGCCGGTAAATGCACATTTCAATAAACAAAGGCAAAGCTTCTGCATTTAACCTAAACCAGGTTAAAACTAACACAATTTTTTTCTAGTGCTCTAACTTGTCTTGCCCTGTTTTCTGCAAAGGGTATTTTCTCTTGCAGTCCAAAATATGTATTTTGGTAGAACACTCATTACAAAATCTCAGTCTCAGTTTAGAAAGGAAAACCTTGGTGCCACTGAAGCCAGTAAAATAACTTTGCTATTCTGTCACTGCTCAGCTTATTATGCTCAACATACATAGCTTACAAGCTTCTTACCTGCCGTGAAAAGGCTGCCAGATCACAAGCGTCTTTCTCTGAGTCTCCCTTCAGTGTCTTAGAGTCTTCAGCCTCTGTACCAGTGCCTTCCCTATCTTTTGTTGTTTGGGGATCATGATTTTGAACTTGTTTTACTTCTGTTGGCTCCTCTATAGTTTTCTCTTGACTTTTGCAAGGTAGTTTCCCTTCTTTTCTGAGTTGTCCCCTCCTTCTGTAACCCCGGTAACTGCTCTGAATAACCACTGCTGCCTTCTCTTTGTCTTCTGAACCTTGTTTTAGTGCCTCAACTTGCTTCCGTGAGCCTCTTAGTGACTCTTTTCTTATAATTCCTTTACATCCTGTAGGCATCACTGCTTCACGTTTCAGGTGGTTTCTTTCTACATCCCTGTCAGTCCGGGGCTGGATCACAGCAGATTCTTGATTTTGCCCATCTGCACTGAGCATGTCATGACGATTTTGCTCTTGCAGGGCTCCCGGTTCAGCTGTGATTTTGACAGAAGATTTCCTGGACAGCTCTTCCAGAGAGGCCTGTTCTTCACTTTCACCAACATGTTCTACTGCAGGGTTCTGCTTCACAGAAGCTCCCCCTCCTTCAGTAGATGTTTTCTGTTGCTCCTGTACATTCCCTGTGTCACTGTACCCAGAGAACTCGCTGTCAGTAACAGCATCAGTTTCATCTTGAGTCTCCTCGTTTGCTGCTTCTTCCATGGTATCATTTTGAGCTGGCTGTAGTTGTGCTTCAAGGAACTCCACAGCAGATAATTCTTCCTCTGCTATTTTTTCGCACTCTTCCTTTATTTTTTTACGGACTCTGTAGCCTCTGTAATGGCTCTGAACAATGACAGCTGCTTCTTCTTCTGTTTTAGGAAGGGCACTCCTCACTCCAGCTGGACTTTCCTCATTATCTTGAAGTTCTTCCTTTTCCTTTTCACTACTGGATGCTGCATTTGCAGTTTGTTTCTTGCTAAGTGATTCCCTGAATGGAATACAGTTTTGGGCAAAAGTTATAGCTGAAGGAGATGGTGACAACTTTACAACTACCTTTGGTGGAGTTTGTGTTCTAAATGGTAATTTGGGACATTGCAGATTTAGTGCATATAGCTGGAATTAAAGACAGCAAACCAATCTGTCTTTATTATTATTTCTTTAAGTGAAAAGGGACATCCTTGTTAAACTCTTCATGGAAAATTGCTAGGGGGACAATCTAGGCTGCATGTGGGCTGATAAAACAGCAGAGAATTAATTTAAATGTTAACAAAAACATAAGGCAGAAAATTTTTAGCACCTCAAATATGCATAATACAATCCTAAATGTATTAATGAATGAAAACTGCCTCAAGTCACACTAGGAATGCAAAAAGAATGATCCTGGGCATAGGTCCAGGTCAAATTTAAAAGACCTAGTCCCTAAACTGTCTTTGTTACCATCAATAAAACTTCAGTGCCAGGTGAAATCTGCCAACCTGTTCTGTCCCTCAGAAAGACTCTGGACTCCTTCACAGCTGTTTTCCACCCCTCTGTAGTTTCCAGCTACTTAAATGCTATCACTGAAAAAAACTACGATGATAAACAAAGTGCTACTAGCTCTGTTTCAGAGACTGGGACTACAACCCCATTGCAGAGATATTTAGAATGTACTTTACCTCACCCAACTTTTAGCTGTTTGAGCTGAACAAGACATCTGGGTTCCCACTGTTATCAGCTAAGCTTATCTCAAATAGTGACTTCAGCAGATAAGAACACTTCCTTGCAGATGCCTATTTCTTGCTCATCTGAGCTTTTTTTTATGATGAGCTAGTTCCAAAAAGAGACTAGTCTACAGATTACATTCACATTACAGGTAAACACAGTATTGTTGATCTTTCCCCTAAATATGCCTTTATTCCCTGGGCCTAAAAATATGAGAAAACTGGTTACTGACGTTAAAAACCTCCACATAAATGTACATTACCTATGCATACATATCTAGAATAATCCTAATTTGCTCCACTTTTATCTTACATTACTGTTCTTCAGCAGTATAGTTACTGAAAAGGGCCATATTTGAGTGACATAGGAGATGGAAAATAACACTACCTCCTGCTTTTGAAGATCTTCCTCTCTTTGTATCCCCTGTAGTGAGACTGAATTGTTATTGCTGCTTTGTTTCTTGTCTCTGTTAGTTCTTTTCTCTTCTTCCTGAGTAAGTAGCCTCTGACAACTGATACAAATTGCAATACAAAACAGCCTTAGGCAAAAAGCAATGGGTTTCCCACACATTTCAGAGAGTCAAATGATAACCACATTAAACAAAAAAAACAATAAGGAAATATGGATGGGGGTGGTTATTATTATTATGTTTCATCTGAAATTATTCTGTCCCACAAAAATGTTGAGATTTCAGAAAGCTGTACCTATTCTACATGAGGATACAAACAAGCTCGCTCTTTGTATTTTACTGGACTAAAGAAAATACAGGAAGATGCAGAATGAAGTGGAAGCATAGTGCTATAGAAGTGCCTCTCAGCTCTCAGCTTCATGTACCTGCTTTGCCTGATTCAGGCAATTGATTTGACTCAGTCTTTCACTTCCCTGGGAAATGCCTGATTATCAGGCTATACAGATTACCAGGCTCTCTTCTGGCACAGGCTTGAAATTAGCTGAACATTCACTAGATCAGACAGAAACTGAAAATTTTATAGCTCAGCAGTTACAGACTTAGCTCGTGCTCCTTTTGCAAAGACTCATAATTCAAAATGAAAAACTTCAGCATGAAAGATGTGCTAAGCTCCACATAACCAGGTGCATTGTGGCAAGGGTATTCGCTACTCGTGCTCTGTAGGAGGCACAAATTCAAGTTTCTGGTCTGAACCAGGAGGAAGGACTCAAACATGGATCTTCCCTGAAACATGTGGGCACTGAGTAGTCACTAGGGGCTTGATGCAGTTGCCAGCACACAGGTATCTAGCGTTCTCTGAAGTGCTCCAGGATTGCCAAGGTATCTACATGGAGCTGGCAGAAAGAACAAAACAGAAGGGAATTTCTGGAGAGAGAAAGTTGAGTGTACCGCAGGAAATAAAGCTGGAGGCCAGGCAAGATAACTTAGGGCACCTCAAATAACTCTAGATACCAGTATGGGTAGAAATGAGCAGAGCATTTGGTGGTTTTGAATAAAATGAATCAAACTCTAGGCTCTGCTGACTATAAGAGGAGTTTAGACACCTAGGTCACTTTTAGACATCTACACTGAAGTGTCTTAATCAAAAACTGAATTGCATTCAGGATGTTGCTTCAGTAATTCCTGAACTTGCAAATTATTTCCTAATGGCAATCGTCACAGTCTCCACAGTGCTGTGATTTGGACAAGTCTGCAATTCCAGGGATCCAGCGTAAATCTGCTAATGCCTGGCAAAATAAAAAGAATGTAGTGTTTTGTCAAAATATTTCTGTTGAACTCTAATTCCAAATGCAGTACCAAGACTATGGGGACAGAGGATTCAGGTAATTTAAATACCATGAGTAGATGGTAGCTATGGGAGCTCTTACTCCAACTCTGCTGAATGTGTTTTGCATCACAGGGAAAGGTCAAGCTCTCTTAAGAATGGGAAGGAAGCATAAGCAGTCTATTCTAACACATTCATATAATGGGGTGAAACTGAGAGAGTTAAGTAAAAATGGACTTCCATTTTGTTCTGGCTTCTCATGCACTGAAAAAAAAGTTGAAATGAAGCTGCTCACAGGAGAGAGAAGGTGGATGAGAAGAAATATTGGGAAGATCACAAACAGAGCAAAGTGGTAAATTCATGCTTTTGCATTTGCTAAATATCCTAATGTAATTGACAACTTTCAGATGTGTAATTATTTTTGGCACATCACAGCATTTTATTCCCATTTTAGATTGTTTTCTACGCTAATGAAGTTCTACCAACTGCAGTGAAGTGCTCTTCAGTGCACACTAACATTGCCTCAGTGTAATTGACAGATGCATCTGACAATGATTAAAACCAGCCCTGGTGTTGGTATATACTCATGAAGGCATATCTGAGGTAGTTTAAATCTAGATAGCCTGGGTAGTGGCAGCACTAGCTTATATTTGGGGTTGCCCCCTTTGTAATTACTGAAAGTGCTGTGCAGATTTGTGCCAGCTGTTTTCAGATCTGTGCCTCCCTAGTTGTATTGCTGCTGATTTCAGAGCTGCCTAGACTAAATCTGGCTTGGGGGCATCTCTGCAGGGATGGGTGAGACAGAAGTGTAGGGAGGAAGAAGGGATGTCACATAGCATACATTGGGGCCCAAGGTGATTATTGCTGCAGAAGAAAAGGAATATTTTGGTAGATTGGACTGAACAATGGCAAAAAAGAATCTGAGGCATGAGTGAAATTACAGATTGCAGTCTTCTCAAACGTAGCTATTACTGATACCTAACAAAACCTATTCCTAAGAGAACAGCACGCACACACACATTATATGCAGACAGTGTCATATGGGGCTTCAACAATACCAGCTGGAATACTTAGACATGTCAGACTAGGAGTGAAAAGGCTTGCTATGGCATTTAAACAGCCCCCTTCACAGCTGTGGAAAGTGTAAGCCACTTTTAGGTACAGGTAATGGAATACATTGACCCGTTTCAACCACTGTATATAGATAGATAAATTATACCTCAGAATGTGAAAATGAGCATAGTCAATCAGTGCAGCTAGGTAATAGCAAAGAATCTGGATCAACATATTGTGTATGGATAGCACATTAAAAGCCACAAAAGCAAACAATTCTTACTTGCTTGAAGTCTAGTGATATATTCTTCCATTTTTTTATTACGTTTTGCATTTGTATATTCTTTACGAGCAACAAAACCCCTGTAAGCTGGAAAGAGATGTCAAAAATTAAATAATCCACTAGGTGCACAAAAGACTGTAAAAATAAGTCTGTAAGAAATTACAGACCTCCATTAAAATATTCATAAATATTTTGCAGGCTTTATCTTTCAAAAAAATTGCAAAGAAGCACAAGCAGTACATCTACATAAAACCAAAATTTTCTGGTGAGTAAAGTTATTATGAATGAAATTAATATAAAACAAGAGAATCAGAATGTAAAATAAGACGATGTTTGAAATATATTAAAATTTTCAGTTGATGTCCCCATCAACAGTGTAATTGGCCTTATTATGTAGGATGGTTAATACTTTTTATTTTCATTATTATATTATACAACCTTGTCAGAGGATGCCAGTACATTATTAATAACAGTATCATCTGTGCAATCACATCCTTCTGTTGTTAAAATTGCATTTTAAATGTAACATTGATAAATGTAACTTCAATACAGAGATTGTCATAACCTGGTTAAAAGAAATTTTTCTTCATAAGAACAGATATCTCCAAGTATAAGATATTTTTTCAAATGTAACAGCAGGAAAACAGCGAAATCCACATCCAGCATGCATGTCCATCTATCAACTGTACACACACACTAGCTTTAAGCAAAATGTTAAATGTTTTAAAGCCATTACCTGACTGTATTTTAATAGCACTTTGTTCCCTTTGTTCCTTTATCCTTTTGTATCTCCTTGAACCCAGCCACCCTCTGACACAAGCTTGAATCAAAATAATCATGTCAACTGTCTCCTTCCGCATTAAATTTAGCTGCTCCACATGATAGTATTTGAGGAATACCTTAAAAAGAGAAGGCAGACAAGCAAAAGTTTTAGTTACCCTCCCAGGCTCTGTACTCACTCTGTCCATTTCACATCAACAGGAGTTACACCTTGGTTTCAAATGATGAACAGACTCTTTAGCTGTAATACCTAAAGGATCATTCCTATTAAAGATTACATTTTGATTGTTTGAGGTACTAGTTTACCTTACTCTCCCCTTCAACATCTTTTGTCAGTCCTTGCTTACTCATGCTTTCATGGGAAGATGTTTTAAAGTCCCAATGCAAAACTTCAGTCTGTAACTATAAATCTGTTTTCAAAACTATGAGGCTGGCAGTTTTGCCAACCTCACAAATCTGGTGTGTGGTACATAAACATGATTCAAATCTGGAACCTTCAACCTCTCTGCTTTCCAGTTTTAAATCTAAGACCTTTATTTACAAAATAGCTTTTATCAAGCATGAAGCATATATAACCTCTGAAAAACTAATCCAGCACATGCGGTGCAAACACATTGCTGGTGTATGTTAGGATTAAATAAAATGTGTAGAAAGAGCTTGTGCAATTAAGGCAATAATTATGCCTATTTTGCAGAATTCCCCCAAGGTTTGATCACTTGTTGGTACAGAAACAGGTTAACCCTAATTAAGTAAATGTAAGTTATAGATCTCCCATCTCAAGATATGCTTCCTTTGGCTGCATGTTCTCCATTAGCCTCACTAAGACAGCAGAGGGAAATAAAGGTTGAGGAGGAGGTAACTTCATGGCTTCTGTCCCACCTACCCAAGAAGATGTCTCAGAAGAACAGTTCTTTCTTTTACACTGAGGTCATTCCAAATAGCTTAGGACCCATCTCTCTATATATCCATATGCTTCCTGGGCACTTCTACTACATCAGTAAATAGAGAGACTTGGTGCGGTACTTGTCTGATGCTTTTCTCTGACAGACCTCCTGAGATCTATCAGCTGGGGGCAGGTGGGTGTCCCTCTCTGGCACACTGGGAAGACTAGTCTCCTAGTCCTATCCTAGCAAGAGTATGGAAACAGACATGTGTTTCTCCTACCATAAAGTCTTCCCTCCACTTCATATATATGGGATCATCCTGCTATCTCTTCCCCCAGTGCTCAGCAAAGTCTGCCACAGAGGCCTCTGGCTGGAAAGCCAAAACCTTTTCCTCTCCTTTTGTGAGTCTGATTGCTCCAGAGAAAAATTGTAACTTACTTTCCTTAAGAAAGCATGGACTCAGCTCACTGGGAACCTTACTGACCACTTTTTTTTGAAAGAAAATGCAAACAGTGTTGCTGTCACATACTGCTTTGCACTGTGGCCTCACTAAAGGTGATCAGAATTTTAACACTTTACAGGGTCAGGATTTCAGCCAGATGTCAGTACCCAGCAAAGGGAGGTTTTTTTAAACCAATAGAGACTGAGAGCTACCCCAACCAAATGAGTGAGAAAACAAATTGCTTAATAAGTTAACAGTGACATAAAAATTACTTTAGTTTTTCCAAGAACCCAGTTGTCAAGGTGGGCTTTTTCCAGGATGGCAGCACAGGTTTCCGGGCTGACTGGAGGATCATCATTTGTTTTGTAACAGATGAGGTAATACCTAAAGACAAATATATGATTCTTTATTCCATTAATAGCGAGCAATAGATGCAAATACACATAAACCATTCATTTAAATAATAAAAATAGTTGCATGAAAAAAAAATAACACTGAAAAAACCAAAAACACCATGTGAAAGAAATTGCTGTGATTTATATGCAGTACTGAGAAGCTCAATTAAAAGTGGATGAGTGACATATTGCACACCCTGGAGGGTTGTTCAATTCTATATCAACAGCAGAAGGCTTTTAAAAAGTGTGCAACCCAAGGAGAGTTGTGCACCAGTTCTTTGCTGCTCTGGCTCTCTGCGTTCTGTGAAAGTTATTTCAGTAGCAAAATAAAAAGATTTTTAAAGCTTTTGTGCCTAAATTAAGTTATTTCATATCTATAAATGTTATGAAAATTTCATATCTTATCTCATGTGCTAGACCATCTACCTTGAGATAGTTAACATGATGTGAGATGCATCCCAGCTCCTGTTGCCTTCTCAGATTCAGCTTTGCAGATCCTTTTGGAACATGTGTGTTGTTATGACATATCACATGTAACCATTTAATCTGGCAAACTCATTACTCAGAATTAATTCTGACTAGAAAAAGAGGTCAGGATGCTCACATAAAAATTACCTGTAACACACTAGCTCAGCTGCTGGGTAGGACAGTTCTTGTGTGTTTCAGGACTTTCCAAAATGCTCCATAACAAAATGAACCATATCTTGGTTTTTTTTTTTTTTTTTGGTTTTGTTTTGTTTTGTTTTTTAATTCAGGAAAATTACATTAATTATGTGTGCTTCCTTATGGTATATGCTGCTTTTTTCTTGTTATTCAGCCTTTATACACAAAGCTTGGGTTGTATCAGCTTTAAATAATGGTAACAATTTCCTCATGGAATAATAAAAAAAGAGACAATGTTGATTCCTGCATTATCACCAATTCCCACAGCCTTTTTTTTTTTTTTTTTTTTTTTAACTGCACAATGAATTGGCTTATTTTTATTCTAACAAAATAATTTTGCCATTATTTCAGGTCTAACTGTAACTCTCAACTATCAAAAAGAAAAAAGCAGATAGATACTTAATAAAAATCCCTTTTTGTTTGAGGGCCATATCCTCAGTGCCAGAGATCTGCACAGCCTCACTTCAACAGGGGCATGGTCTCTGGAGAGGTACCCCATTATGTTCACTGCTTTCCTCTCTTTTACCTGAACAGTAAAATTTTTTTATAAAAAGCAGTGACCAAAAGCCACAGCACATCTTGGTGCAGTGATAACTACATTTTCCCATGCTGCACTCTTCCAAAATAGTAGTAGTCCCAGGATTATTCTTTCCAGAAACAGTGCTATAAAAACATCGGTATGTCCTTCCTCTCTCTCCTTGTGCACCTGCAGCTCTCTGCTGCTTGCTCCCTGGTTCTAGTGTGCTATTACTTTTAAGTGCTTATGTCCAAATGGGTGTTGCTTGCTTCCTCACAGTTTTGATCTCCATTCCACAAATCTCAGTTCTGATTGAGGAGAATACTCAGGGTCTTTATTTGTAAGACAGAAGTACAGAAAAAGTGCTCAGGATTAATTCTGGGGAGTGGAGGAGGAATTATGAAATTAGTGAGTTCATTACTCTTCTTCTTAACAAGTGACTAATACTTAGAAACTATATTTTAAACAAAATTATGCACTTAATTAATTTCTCAGCCCTAGTTTAACAATGCCAAATTATCATACACCCTGTACAAACAAATGCTGTACAGTGCTGAACATCAGGACTTAGAGGAACTGTGGTGCTCTTTGGATGCTATTGCTCCAAATTCTCATCTTTAATTTGAAGCATTACATTTCTAAACCTCAAGACTTTGAAGAAAACTTGCAGATTATCAGCAAGACAATTTTTACCCAAATGTGCAGGGAGTCTGAAAGAATCATCCTGAGATGCATCATCTTCCCCTACCAATCCATAACAGGTCACTAATCTTGTTCCTGAACTACTCTTTGTCATCCAGTCTGTAATCTTCTTTGTTACAGGAAATGTCTTTGTATTTTTTCTTTAAAGACCATACCAAAGACACTGCCGATGCTTAGCAAACAGTAGGCAGGAATGATAGGAGAGAAAAAGGCTTCTTCAGATCAATGTTACCGTTTTATGAAGTTAGCGAACAGTATACGGTGTGAATAACCCTGTCTTCGAATTCTTGCCGTCTCCAGAATTCCTGTGTAACGTAGCTGAACCAACACTTTCTCTTTATCAAACTTGTTTGCTTGCCGGTCATTGTTTGGCTTGATGCACCTGACAAAATGAGGCTGGCCGACAACCATTTTGGATAACAGATCCATCAGAGAATACTGCAAGAAAGTAACAAGGTATCTGCCACCAGGATATTTATAAAACATATATAGGTCCATGTGAAGCTGAAATTTTATTTCATTATAAGAATCATGTCCAAACCCATTTACATTTCAGTAGGCTGGTACTTTAATGGTAAATGAAGTAAATGACCCAACAACAATTCTAGCTTTGATAAGATCTCTCAGTTACTAGTGTATACTACCTGAGCAAAACACTGATTACAAATGGGCGTACCAGATTCCACATAGAACATTCTCACAAACTGCAATAATGTCTGACATATGAGAGAAACTCTCCTTACATTTATTTGCTGCTCTTGGAGCCTTGTTAGTTAATTACAGCCCACTTTTTCTTTTTCCTGTTGTCACCTATCTGAAGATCCTTACTCACCCAGAGAGTACATCATCCATCTACGGATGGGAAGTGTAAGAGCAGCAAGCCAGTAAATACTGCCATCCCTTCATCAGACTGGAGCAAACTAAGGCCACCCCAGAAGAGGGGCTGCTTAAACTGCTCTGATCTAGCACGTCCTATTCATTGTATAAGCTGATAGTGATACTACAGCTGCCCTGCCAAGAGAAAACTTTTGAGGTGGGCAAAACTGGAAGTACACAAAATCACAGTTCCAAAGTTGCATTTTTTGCACCTCTCCAGGGTACCAGAGTAGCAGAGGGGATGCAGTTTTTAGCTCCCCATGCCAACTTAGGTGAATCTGTCTGTAAACAAGCTTGACTGGTGTTTTGTAAAATTGCTTCATAGGAGGATCTTATTAAAACACAGATGAAGAGGCTCATTCCTCAAGATTCAACCTGACTCAACAGAAAGAGGCAGCCAGGAGGTAATGCAGTTCAGCAGTAGGTTGGATACATGAAACTAGCATAGGACATGAAGAGCCATATGTTTCCTATTAAAATGTGCAATTCCATTCTGGACAGGTGCTGCACCATGCAGCAAAGTGCTTAATTAATTTCATGACTAGTGTGCCAATTGAACACACAAACAAGTAGGACCTGCTAATGGATAATTTTTTTTTTTCCACTCAAGTCTGATGTGGCAGATGCTTTCCTCAATCACCCATCAATTTCAGCCTCTGATGTTAGATGCTGGTAATGCACTGAATCACAGACATTAGGTTTGAATGATAAATTTTTACATATAGAACTTTAAAACACCATGCAGCTTTGGACCACCATGATACCTACACTGAAATTATCCTTCGTAGTCCACAAAGCTGTACAATTGTAACTACTAAACAGAGATCTTACTCTTTACTGTTCGAAATTATCCTTCGTAGTCCACAAAGCTGTGCAATTGTAACTACTAAACAGAGATCTTGCTCTTTACTGTTCTGTGTCACAGATGTAAATGAATTCTTACGGGTCATGAACATCACCTCAGCCATCTTTATGTTTTTGCTGGGAGAGATAACTAAATAAGAGTTGGAAATTCAGAGCTGAGCCCAAGTGAACCAACTCTGTGCACCATTTTGGAGGAAAGAATGCTCTTCACAGCTATTTTCTATTGCAGGACCAGCAGCACAGCCAGTGCTTGGGAAGGTCAACAGCAGTGCTGAAGGAGCCACAAGGATGGACTCAGGACAGCCTCTGAGCAGTGGCCCTCAAGATCCTTCTCTGGAGCTTCTACTTCAAATTAACTTTGTCCTCTTGCTTCTTAAACTCTTAAACAAATGCTATACCACTAATGTCCAACCTCCCTTTATCTCCCTTGGTGGGAAAGCAAGCAAGTGAAAGATTAATACAAATCATCATACAGCATCACGACAGAAATGTGGCTGTGTAATCAAGTACAATTAAAGAGGAAACATCACAATATCCTCTAGGTATTTGTACTGCAGACTGCTGCACCATATATGCAAACTCTAAATGGATCACTGTTGACTCTAAGTCAACAGATGCATTTCAGAAGATGAAAGAATAAACATTCATTCTACTCTAGAAAAAAGTATTAAAAGATCTGATATCTTACTCTAAAATAAGAAGCAACTGTCTGTGTTTTCATGCTCGTTGTCTCTCTTGGATGATGTCCGGTATCTCCTGCTTCATTCTAGAAAGATGAAGAAAGAAAATTACACAATTTTTATCTCTCTTGAGCCTGTAGTACCCTTTTCAATGCCACAACAAAGCACCATGATCACTAGTACAAATCAGTTACACCAGTACATTACATTACTTTGCTACACAATACACAAACATTTACACACAGAGGACACAATTTGGTAATGAAGCATCTAAACAATGGCCACAAATAACTTGACGATGTCTGAGGTCCTGTCTTATTTCACCATCACTGTTATTTTGGTAGTTCTCTAAGGAACTTGACCATACTCCATACCAACATTTTAATACGTCTTTTTGCTACAATACAGCTAGGAAATAATCTTTATTTCCCCTGAAGTTGTTATAAAACTATAGCCATAAAGAAGGGAAATGTTAGGTTTTTACCTCACGGAAGGAATATGAATTGCACAACACAAAGATATCCAGCTAAACAGAAAAGAAAATAGAAGGAGAAAAACCAAGGAAGGGGTTACTTTCTTACTTTTAGTATCAATAACAGTATTGCCTTTCTAGTTTAAACAAAGGTTCAATGCAGAATCACAAAATCAGTTTTCTTACCTTTGTGTGACTGATTGATTTCTGGGGGGTCCACATTTGGTAACTGATTGTAGTTTTGCTTTTAGTGTGTGCCAGGTTACCTGTGGGAAGATGAAAGACAGCAACCTACCAAAATGCTTACGTCTCATCTAAACTAAAAATCACGCTGTACCACCTTATACATGCCCCCAGTGTAACCATATGATTATAAAGGTTGTTGACTTTTTTGGAATATGTCCTCACTTCCCCTTTCACCCTTGGGATGGAACAAGCTCTGAAGAAGTTGCATGAAGATGGAACATGGACTGAATTTTCCTCCTTCAGCACTTATATAACCTACTAGAGCAAACAAATAAACAGACTGCTGCAGAAGGTAAGAAAGATACATCTTAGAGCATCCATGTGGCTTTACCCTAAAGATGTTATCTTACTATTTTAGTTCTAAGGCTACACATATGTTAGTTAAAAAAAAAAAAAAAAAAAAAGGTGCTAGCACCCTTCTCTGGCCCTGAAGGCAGGTGACATGGAATGACTCAAGTCTATACAGCTAAACTCTATACTTTACTACTCTTTTAAACTCCTGGTAAAAATAAGGTTGTCTCTTTCCACAGAGCTTTCTGGAAACTATCACTGGCCTGTGCTTTCTCTTGAAGTGTTCCTGGGTATTTCTGGGAGACTGCTAGCTGACATGGTCCAAAACTGTCCCAGAGAGGCATGCTAACAATTAATCAGAATGGGCAGTCCTGTGGGAGTGTTTCAGCTACTGTTCACTGGCCCTGTTTGGTTTACTAGAATAGACACAGTCTTAAGACTCTAACCTTGTAATTCTTAATCAAGTAATACCTTTATTATGATGACTTGAACGACTAGGTGCATTGGAGTGGTTTACATAGACACTGGTCTTCTAAAGGAACAATGAAAATTCTGCTGAGCTTTCCATCACCTAACTCTATGTTGATAAACCCCAACCATTGCTGCATGCTACCATTGCTTCTGCTGATAACATAACTCATCTGGAATCTCACTCTCCACTGGGAGAGCCTGTGACCTCCCTGTGCTCAGCTACTGTCAGTAAGAGGTGGATAAGAGCTGGATAAACAGCTGTAAGTAGACAGCATGCCGAGCTGATGCATCATGTATTATGTGATATCAAGGAAGGAAAGAGAGAGGATTACTCACACCTAACTTTAGCTATCTGAAAGAGAGGTGTCTACAGGATCCCTGCTATATTGAGTGGAGAGAGGCAAATTCAGAGGAGATTTATCCCATCCTAAGAGAAACAATGGAGATAGGCAAGATGGGTTGGACTCTGGGTAAACCTCTGCATTTTCACTGATTCTAACTTACATCAGAAATCTAACTTTTAGGTGGGTATAGCTGGACGGTTTGGGTCAGTTTCGAAAGGCTACAAACAGTGCTTCATAATATTTAGCAAGAGGACTAAAACAACCTTCAGATTTATCTTGCAAAACATTACATAAGACTTAGGATCAGTTCTTGGGACCATCTGGGCCCTGACTTTGGCTCTATAGAAATTATAGTTTAGTATCTTAGCAGATATCAACAAGTCAAAAAGTTCAGGCAAGGACATTGAGCTCAGTGTTCTCCTAGGAACACTGACTTAAAATAGATGTTTGAATCCAAATTTTGCATTCCACCAGCAAAGCTGCCTTTGTGAAGAACAGAAGCTTTGCCAAAACCTCAGTTTCTGTAAGCTACAATAACATTTTATGGAAATTTTCATTAGGCAATTCCAATTTAGCTTTTCTGCTCTACTAAAGTACATCTCTCATGTAGTTGTACAAGAAAGTAATGTTGTGAACTACTTACTGTATGGCATCAACGCCATCATACAGGGAGTAATACAACACAGTAACAAACTGGTTTTAAGGAGACTTACCCATCATCCCAAAGACCTACCCAAAATGGCAAGTAGGACACTGTGCAAGGACCTGGTTCAACTAAGGTGCAACTTAGGAGTAATTTCTGTAGAGCCAGTCATAACTCCTCCAGCCCAACTTTTGAAATCCTGGAGGAAGGGCTCACTACTAGGATCCCATCAGTTGCCTATTGTAAAGGACTAAAACACTGGGGAAATAGAGGAGTGTCTCTCACTCTTTGCAGCAGATGTTAGGAGCCCCAACCTTGGTTCTCTCCTATTTTAGAGCAAAATTGCACTGAGACAAAACAGGCAATTTATATACGCCCTGCCCAAAAAAGGCCAGTGACTTACCTGATCCTTTCTGTTCAGTCCTCAACCCAAGGGATGCACTCCACTCCCTGTCTTGCTCCCCTACCCTGAAGAGAGGACCCTGAAAGAAGCCTCTACCACTTCTTTGGCACTTGACCAGACCAATCCCTCCCCTGCAGCTTGAGATGGCTGGGGCTCCATTCTGTATAGATTCTAGGGTTGGAAAGTTAAGCCACAAAGTGTATAATGTCATCAACAAGTGGTCATATGAAACCTAGCAGTGGTCATCATGAAGGCTACAGAAGAATAAGAAGATTACCACAATAGCAATACCTGTTTTTGTAAGAGGATGGGTTACCAACTGTCGCGTCAGATTGTTTTCAGATGATCGCAATAGCAGCACAATATCAGCTGGCAGAGTATCTCTATTTTTGGCTAGGAATCCGCTTGCATTATATAGAACCTGTTTGAAAAGTAGTTGTAAATTTAAGCACTCTAGCATTTGGCTTTTAATATATGGGGATACACAAAGAGTTTGTCAGCCACCAGGCTCGCTCTTGCTTAGTCTTTCTTTTGATCACTGGAAGTTCTAACTTTTCAGTACTAAGAACCATTATGATGCAGATCACTAAAAGCAAATCCATCATTCCAAAGTAGCTTGAGACATTTATTTTCAGCTAATGCGAGTGTGGATTTATCACTAGGACAAGTGTATTGTAGTCCTCATTTGCCTGTGTAAATGCACAATTAACAATGTACCTGCTTTCAACTATATCACACAGAATTATCCATATGATTGTACAATCTTTCTGCCCCATTCATATCATGCTGTACTGGACCCAGGACTTATCACTCTTCCTGGAAATCTCTGTATAAATTGTAGAGAAAGTTTGCAAAATCACAAACTGCATATCGACAATTGAAATCTCACTAAAAATTCCAGGAATGGTGTACCTAAGTCAAAATGTACCTCTAGGGCTCTATCTCAATAAAGGACCCACAAGAAAACCTGGCCTGTGAAGAAGGGTAGAAGATACTGGCATATTTCATTTAGAAAAAAAACCCTCACAAAACAACCCAGTAACAGTCTTAAATTACAAAAAAGGCTTGTAAAGAAGAGGAAATAAATTGTTCTCCAGTTCCACAGTAAAAAGGACTAGGGGTAATGAACTGAAATCATAGCAATGGAGATATCAGTTAGACAATAGGAGAAAATTCCTAATGAAAAAGCTTGTTGAACACTGGAAAAGGCTGATGGGGCACTGGTGGAACCCCCATCTTCCACTGGCTGGTATCAGGAATGGTATAGGGAGACCTGGCGTTCTGCTTCTCAGCAGTGAGATATGCTGTGCTGGTGAAGTGTAATTCATCTGGAGATGAGGTTCAGAGGAGTTATTGCAGGCCTTTTGCATCTGTCTGTCTTACACAAGGGGCAAGTTACTTTCCATCAGCTGATGGGCAGTATGTTGTCTCTTTCCAGGCCAGCTGCTCCAGTACTGCACAGACCCAACATAGTTTCCTATGTGAAGCAGCAATGGCCACTCCATACCCCTTTAAAAGAGCTCAAAAGGAGGTGGGAGCTCCTGGTTTCATAAGTCAAGGTTCAGGTGACCAGTGGAATCTTGCTGCAGTGTGTCAGCAGCTCCTCCTGACTTTGAAAGGCATGCACAGCAAGTCACTTTGCATGGGAGGGCAAGACAATGCTCATCAAATGAAGCTGAAAGCAGGGCCCGCACTATCTGGCTAATGACAACGTACAGAACTAAGAAGTAAGACTGATGGGGTGTAGGAGGTAGGATAAAGAACAGAGCTGGATCCTGATTCAAAGCAGTAGGAACAAGCATGGCACAGGACTTTGAGGAATGAGGGGAAAGAGCTGCATTACATAATGGTTAATTTTTTTGTTCTGATATAATACAGTCAGTTCATTTACTTGGTGGCATTTAAGAAAAATACACTGCTGCTGTTGCATTTTTTGTGAAAGAAAATAGCTTTTCAATTTACTTTTGATGTGTAAGGCACTGCCAACTTTTCCATATCAGGCCCAAATAGATGAAGCCTGGGAACCAACCCAGCTGACCTCTTCCATTTCCTTCAATCCCTACTGTTCCACAATCCCCAACTAACACCATTAGGTCTCTTACCTTTCCTGCATAATGATAAATCCCAAAGGTTAGATCTACTCTTTTGGGTCTCCAAAAATATTTTGACTTCAAATTATCTTCAAATTTTTCTGAAAGGAAACACATAGCTTATCTTACTGGAGTTACTATACAATAATTGTCCTCTGAAGCTGTATCCCTCTAAGGATATTGCCTGACTTCTTGGACAATGCAGAGGCACAAAACAGACTCTGATGTTTTAAAGGAGAAAGATACCATAATGGTCTTGTAACAAAAGGTACTGGATAGATAATAGGGGAGCTCTTGGATCAGTTACTTACTTTGTACCTTTGTTTTTAATGTGTGACCTCAGAAAATTGCTTGCCTTTCTTAGCTTTTTTCATTCATATATGAAACAATGTAGTAATCCTTCCTAAGGATTCCTTGGGGAATTGTGAGGAAACATTTACCAATTGATTGAAGGCCTCTGTACTGTAGACTAAAAAGTATGATAGAAAGACAACAAGCTCATATAATTGCTTTAGCATGGGCATTGTTACTGGATATTATTAGGTTTAGGATTGGTATTGGTTAAAACTCACATCTGACATTTTGCACATGCAAAATTGAGTAAAACAAGGATTTATCTGGACAGAAACCTCACTGAAATAACTAAATCAACTGTAACTGCAACTGCTCAGCAGCACTGAAATATTCAGGATCTGAATTACAACATATTTAGGTGTTTCAATTTTGATTTCTGAATAGAAAAAACAGGAAGCATAATTTGCTGAAAGGCACTGAGGCAGGTTTGCAACCATTACCCTTAAAAAGTAGCAAAATTCTTGTTCAGATACGGCTCACCTAAAATCTCAGAGCTGAACATGACTCAACTTTGAAAACGGTGTTCTTGGCATATGTACATAGAGTCTTAACTCAATTTGATCTTTATCTTTCAAGCCCTGCAGCTAAAAATTCCTGAAGACAGGAGAATCCAAAACCTGGACCAGCAGCTTAGGTTCATTTGTACTCTTGATGTTTCTCTGTCAACTTCAAAGACAGATCCATCCCTATATGCATGCCTCGCTCAAACAGACTGTGACACTGGAATGTGGGCTCACTAAAAACATAACTAGCACATAGCCTAAACTGGACGCGTCAAACAAATCTAACAGGGAGACATCCTGCAAAACTGAAATAAACCATATACTTACCTACAAGTGTCTGATCTGTTGCTTGTGGGAATCGACTCTCCTCATCCAGCAGGGACAATAAACCCATTGGTTTCTGCAGAAACATATCTAAGAGGGGCCTGTTGTCCTCATATTCTATAACTCTTGCATCAACGCCTTCATACAAGTATTCATTCTGTAAGAAGCAACAGAAGGCATGTTTTGTCTATGCATACAGAGCCACTTCAGAAAAGAATTCACAAACTGTTAATAGTAGCAAATTAAAACTACATTGAAAAAGTATGCCCCAGGGCTAAACACATCAAGGTTTTGCAGGAGCAAATGTCAGTCAGGATGTATCACATTGTCAGGCTATAGATTTTAATTTGCCTTTGGATATGTAAGTGCTTCCTATGGCGTATTTGGTAAAGTAAGATGCTTTCCAGGAATATCCAAGAATTAAAGAAACAGAGTTGAAGAACATAAGGTACAGTGTCTGCAAGTGGAGACCTCAGTGTCTATTTACTTCCCTGGTCTGCAATGTAAAAAATATTTCTTAATTATTTGGAGCTACATTTACATCCTCAACTGCTCAGATCTATGTGATGTACAGCGTCCAAGATTTACAAAAGTGACTACAAATTACAGAGGCCTCACTTGTTTGATCTCCCTCCTCAAACACCTGGAAAAGTTCTTATGTAGAGAAGAATGGCGCACACACTTTCTAATAATCAAAGAACAGTGTACGTACTTTCTAAAGTCTCAGGTTGGCCCCTACCACATTTTCACTCCTTTTAAGGAACTAGGGAAAGGTATTCATCAAGATTAAAAAACTACAGAAAAGCTGGTTGGCTTTTTTGTTGTTTTTTTTTTTTCTTTTCTTTTTTGAGGGGGTGGGGGTGTGGTGGTTTGTTTTGTTTTGTTTTGTTTTCTCCTGAAGACTGCAAAATATCTTTGGATTTTTTTTTTTTTTTTATAACAAAAACTGTGTCCACAGTGTGTTGTGATGGTTTTATCTTGAAAAGAATTTAAATTATAGCTGAAGAATACAAGAATTACTTTCTTTAATCCTTCAGCAAGGCAAAGGACGGATGTAGATTTACCAAGAGAAGGATGCCCTAGGGACTGCCACCGCTGCATTATTTTTTCTGCATTACATAATGCAATAGCAGTTATCCACTGCACAGTGCTCCCATATAAAGCAGGGCTGCCTTCAGTCCTGTGCAGGCTATATTATGAAACACATAATTAAGCCTTTTGATCTATGTTAAAAATCATCCCTCTTCCAAAAGATAGGACTTTATAAAATGTATTAATGTATGGTGTTAACATCACAGTTGTGCTATCCTGAATTCATTGTGAGAAGAGTGCCACAAACATGAATGACGGCTCATATTAATGAGTTCAAAGACCTCTAACCCTGAAAGACCTCTCCTTACATGTCATTCACTTAAGTCTGAATGATAGTCAGGGTTGAGTGAAGAAGGCAATACAATGAGTGGTTCGAAAAGGAGTTAACTGCCATATACAACAGAAAAAGCACATTATTAGGCTTCATACCTTTTCATCTCTAAGCTAGAGAGAAACAGCAAAATTAATAACATCAGTCACACTGCCCTAGGAATACAGGCCCCAAAACCTAAATCTGCTGATCCATTTGAAAGAGAACACAGAATGTGTGTGTCATGTCCTGCAGCCCCATGTGGGCTCCTCATCTCAGACACGTAACATTAACTTCATTCATGTCTCCCCTGGAGCAGTGGACAGGTGGAGTTTTGTTTTTTATTTTAATTAATGACCTAAGTATCAGGTTGAGACAGGAAAGGAATACATGTATCGCTGATATAGG